CCAAAATATACAAACAGCTCATGAAGCTCAATATCAAAAAAATAACCTAAGATTTTAACGAGGTCTGTTTGGATCAGTCAAAGATATAAGTGAAGGTACAAAAAGCATCATCAAAAATAAACCTTTTATTTGCCAAGACAGCATAAGGTACAAAGAGACAGTGAACAGAGCAGGAGACCCAGAGCCATAGATGGAAGCCTGTGTTATGGTGCCCTCTCTCCCTCCCTCAACTGTTCTTTGTGATTCAGTGGGTTGTTCTTTGAGATTCAATGGGTTCTTCAGGATTCAATGGGTTCTTCGATTTAATGTGTTGATGTAAACAGGATACTCTGTCTCTGAGGATGGGTGCACGGTGTGGCAGGGATTCACCCAGCAGAACAAACAAGGCTTGCTCTGAACCTCTTAATACTTCATCTCCCTCCCCACCTCCCCCATCAGAGGAACTCCCATCACAAATGCCATGTACTGATTTTGGAAAAAGAGACTTCTCATCTGGAGCAACTGCAGCCTTTCCTCATCTGGAGCAACTGCACCCTTTAGACCTCGAGACTCTTCTGAAAGCATGCTCATGAATACTCCAAGCATCAAAGTTAAAGAATTTTCTCTTCAAGTTAAAACTGGGTTCTTACTCATTCTTATGACACAGCCCATGTCACGCACCAGGGCTTCCCTGGGACTGCTCTTTGGGGCAGTGGCCATAGGGGTGAGGTATTTTGGGAAACTTCAAGAGAAGCCTGTATACCAGAGGCCGGGGCTGGTACCTGCCTTAGAAACGGTTAGCAGCTTTGCTGGTTACATTTTGGATCTTTATAATCATTGATAGTCTGTAGCGCAAGTGCTTCTTTGTCCATCTTGACGTAATGATGTTAGAAACGAGATTCTACCTTGCATGTTTATCTATTTTTTTTTTTTACTGCCCAGGGTCTTTGTTGCTGCATGGGCTTTTCTCTAGTTGTGACGAGCGGGAGCTACTCTCAGGTTGCTGTGCGCAGGCTTCTCCTTGTGACAGCTTCTTTTATCGTGGAGCATGAGCTCTGGGCACACACGGTCTTCAATAGCTGCAACTCCCGGGCTCTAGAGCACAGGCTCAATAGCTGTGGCACACGGGCGTAGCTGCTCCATGGCATGTGGGATCTTCCCGGACCAGGGATGGAATCTGTGTCTCCAGCACTGGCAGGCAGATTCTTTACCCTGAGCCATCAGAGAAGCCCCAGATAATTGCATCCTGAAGAGATGGTCTTCTAACTGCTTACAACTGGTGGGCAAGCCATCACCAGGAGGAACCAGGAGAGAAGCTACAACATGGCAAGCAAAAGCACGGTTTCTTACTGTTCTCCAAGTTTTCAGTAGATGACAATCACCAAGTCATACAAAGGAAAACAGGAAGGAAAGGGAACATGACCTTCACACCTCAGCGGTTACTGCCACAGTCCGGGGACATCAGCCCAACACTTGACTTCATCCCTGTGCCTATTACTCTGGAAATTCTTGTTAAAGTCTCGTTTTAAAATGCCACGAAGAGGACTTCTCTGGTGGCCTAGTGGTTAGGAATCCGCCTTCCAATGCAGGAGATGCAGGTTTGATCCCTGGTTGGGGCACCAAGATCCCACATGCCATGGGCAACTAAGCTCCCACTGCAATGAAAACCCAGCACACACAAAAATGAACAAACAAATGTCATGGAAAGGTGCTCATTTTTAATTTTTATTTTACTGGACATACCCTAGGTGGGCCTGATACCTGGAGATGCAGGGTCCAGGCCTCACCCTACAGCCAAGGATTCTGCCCACCAGGGCCTCAGTTTGCTCATTCGTAAGATTTGTTGTTGTTCAGTTGCTAAGTCGTGTCCGACTCTTTGCAACCTCATGGACTGCAGCCCACCAGGCTTCCCTGCCCTTCACTATCTCCTGGAGTTTGTTCAAAACCATGTCCATTGAGTCGGTGATGCCACCCAGTCATCTCATCCTCTGTCGTCCCCTACTCCTCCTGCCCTCAGTCTTTCCCAGCATCACGGTCTTTTTCAGTGAGTCAACTCTTCTCATGAGGTGGCCACTTCAGCTTCAGCATGTCCTTCCGATGAATATTCAGGATATTCAACGAATATTCATAAGATGGAACTGGTCATTAACATTTCCTACTTTCTTTGCAATAATGTGCTAACATAACTGAAACAACAGATCAAAAATATTTTGTGTGTGCTTGTGCTTAATTGCTCAGTTGTGTCTAACTCTGCAACCCCATGGACTATAACCTGCCAGGCTCCCCTGTCCATGGGGATTCTCGAGGCAAGAATACTGGAGGGGGTTGCCATACTGGATCTCCCCAACTCAGAGATAGAACCCAGGTCTCCTGCGCTGCAGATGGATTCTTTACCTTCTAAGCCACCAGAGAAGCCCAAAAGTATTTTAAATGTCCTCTAAAAAAGAAAGATTGAGGAATTATTAATACATGAAAACAAAGCAAGAATATTGGGTACCCACTGTCATATCGAAAGAAGGACTTCTACATTTTCTGAAATTCTTAGAGCACAGCAAGAAGTCAGTAATTGCCCGGTGGGCTGCTGGCTGTCATGGGAATGAGAAATTCCCTCCTCGGGACAGTGGGTTTTCAGTATCCCACTGGCTGGATCCCAAAGCAACGCAAGGATACAAGATGAGGACCAGAAAGGGGTGATGTTCATGAGGGGGAACAGTCCCGGCTCAGTTCACATTCCTATGGATCCGATATGAGGAATTACATTAAACATTTGTTAATGTCCTTGGGTAAGGGGGACAATGGGAATTATCCCTGAGCAGTTTTCTGAACATAAAGTTCAAAACACATGAACAAAGACATGAATTTCTAAAATCAATGCTATGAGTCCCTTCTCCATCCCCAGCAATAAAGCTATGGTTCTCAAGGGTCCCATGCTATGGCAATGTGAAGGTTCAGGTTTAAGAGACCAGAAACTTTTCATTAACTTCAGCTCCAGAGCAGTGGAAATGCACTCTGAAACACACATGCACAGACATTCACAAGTATGCACCTTCCCTATTCCAACGACTTATCCCAGTATAGAATGAGCAGGAAGGTATCATAAAATTAGAAAACAAGAAACTAACTTACTCTTAGTGTCTGAATATAAAACTCTCCTGAACACTTGGGAAGTGTGATGTGGCCCTAATTTGTCCCTAAGATCCTAGTTCCCAGAGCAAGTAAAGCACTGATCCCACCCTTGCAGAAGGTCAGGTACCTGGGGCATCACCAGCCTTCTGAGTTCTGTGAACTCCAGCCCAGACATGGCTAAGCAGAGATGTACCAGGACTCTGCCCCTATTAGCACTTCACCTGTCCCCCCTCACACTCAGGATCTTCCCACACCAGTTGCTGCTTTGAACATCAGGAAAGTTGACAAGCATATTCAGATAGCTCCGTGGATGTTCTAGAACTTTTACATATGCCCAGGGTCAAAATGAGGGCTTCCCTGCTAGGTCAGTAGTAAACAATCCAACTGCCATTGCAGGAGATGCAGGTTCGATCCCTGGGCTGGGAATATGCCCTGGAGAAGGAAACAGCAACCATTCTAGTATGCTTGCCTGGAGAATCCCGTGGACAGAGGAGCCTGGTGGGCTATGGTCCATGAGGTTGGAATAGAGTCAGACAGGACTGAGCAACTAAAGAACAACAAGGGTCAAAATATATTCAAGGTTCTTACACCAACCATTGCAAGAACACTGCTGGGAAATTAGATGCAAAGTCCCAGCCCTGTAATCTTTGCAGAGACCTTGTCACCAGCTGATCAGACAATTTCAATGACACGAGTCAAAGAACAGTGAAGACACTGGAGGTCATACAAATGATATGAATAGCCACCAGGAAGACGCTGCCCCTTTCATTACTGGGTCAGACTGGAGTAGTTTGGTGCTTTATTTAGGTTCCCTGGGATACAGAACATCACACAACTTCCTAATGCATGGCTTTCATTACAGAGGGTTCCACTCTCCTTGTGGAGAGAGACAAACCTCACTGCTTCTGCTACGAAAGTGGTGATATGCGCAGAAAATAAACGGTCCATATTCAAAGCATCACTGAAATCAGACTGCAAAAGAAAACTCCAAGAAGAACTAGACCCATGTTTACAACACAAACCCTAAACATGGATAGCAGACCCCAGTAGAGATTCTGGCATGTGTTAAGCTGTAAAAAATATTCATCAAAATTAAAACCTTTAAAGGCATTCTATTACAAAGCATTTCTCACTGGCCCTCTACAAGTTATGGCCATAATATAATAGGCTTATTTTTGGAGGCTGCAAAACACCCACACCCAACAAGTAAACTCTGTCAAAGTGACACTCCTAATAAGCTAACATTGGACCCAAATGTAACCATTCTTCAGCTACTTGTAGAGCTTTTTGAGAACATCCTTCTGAATCAGTTAGTGGGAAATACACTAACTAGTGGATAGTGGATATCTAACTATCCACTCTTGTTTTATAACCATACTTCTTTCAGCTCAAAGGCCATGATGGTGTGCCTTATTCATTGCGTTTTGCTTTGAATGATGTAAAGTTACAACCTCAAATTGAATATATCACACACAGTGAAGGTTTTCTACTACTAATGTTGTTCAAATGAATATACAGAAGCAATTGCAGAACTCCAGACTCAGCTTGGAAAACAACCTTGTTGGAGTAAGCTGACCTGGGCAACACTAAATGGTCATTAAACTCAGAAAATTCTTGGTGCCTCACCATCCACCCCAACACTTTCTCATCGTATTTCATCAGACCCAAGAGGTCACTTGCAAGTACTGTTCCATGTGAGCACTGGATCACTTTAGTACAAATCTGGGTGACCCATGCTTTCATTTCTTTGAAGCAAAAAGTAAGCAAAATCTACTTTTAATTTTTTCTTAAAAGAATTCAAGACCATCTACTCTTTTCACATAACATGTAACACACACAGCTTGAAACTCATGAATTCCATGAAATGCCATCATGTGGATGAGTCAAATACTTACGCCATGATGCCTGAGAGATGGAACATCTCGGCCGTGATGTAGGACAAGTAACTATACAGGAAGACGAAGAGTGGCTCGATCACACGGATGTTGTGTGTGAAGCGCGTGGTAAACGCCGCTATAAAGCCCAGGAAGATGCCGATCAGCACCCCACCAATCCCCACAACGAAGAAGTTCGCGATGCCAGCAAACACGTCAACGGTCTCGATGGTCTTCATCTGGCAGAAAGACTTGAACAGGTTGTACAGGACCTGTGGGAGACACAGAGGGACATTAGGACCTGCCAACTTCCCCATCATCCACGCAGCCCCAGAAACACACCTGCCTCCTAATAAGGCCATGTCTTCTGTGCTCCAAAGTGGATGATGAGTGGGAGCGACTGCGCATCTCTTTATCTCACATTTTAACAGTACATTTAATTGTTGTGTTTAGTTGCTAAGTCATGTCCCACTCTGTGACCCCACAGACTGACTGTAGCCCACCAGGCTCCTCTGCCCATGGAATTCTCCAGGCAAGCATACAGGAGTGGGTTGCCATTTCTTTCTCCAGGGACTATTCCTGTCCCAGGGATCAAACCCACATTTCCTGCATTGGCAGGTGGATTCTTTACCATGGAGCCACCTGGGAAACCCGGGCATTCAATAGCTTTAAACAAAAAGTGTTGATGAAAGCGTGTCATCAGGAAATCTATTTCTAGACGTGACAGAGAGGAGACTTCAAAATTATTTACATGACTTACTCCTAAAACATCATTTTTTAGACCCTCAGTTCAGTTCAGTTCAGTCTCTCAGTCGTGTCCGACTCTGAGACCCCATGAACCACAGCACACCAGGCCTCCCTGTCTATCACCAACTCCTGGAGATTACTCAAACCCATGTCCATCGAGCTGGTGATGCCATCCAGCCATCCCATCCTCTGTCATCCCCTTCTCCTCCTGCCCTCAATCCCTCCCAGCATCAGGGTCTTTTTCAATGAGTCAACTCTTCGCATTAGGTGGCCAAAGTACAGATTTTCAGCTTCAACATCAGTCCTTCCAATGAACACTCAGGACTGATCTCCTTTAGGATGGACTGGTTGGATCTCCTCGCAGTCCGAAGGAGTCTTCTCCAACGCCACAGTTCAAAAGCATCAATTCTTTGACGCTCAGCTTTCCTCACAATCCAACTCTCACATCATACATGACCACAGAAAAAACCATAGCCTTGACTAGACGGACCTTTGTTGGCAAAGTGATGTCTCTGCTTTTTAATATGCTGTCTAGGTTGGTCATAACTTTCCTTCCAAGGAGTAAGCGTCTTTTAATTTCATGGCTGCAGTCACCATCTGCAGTGATTTTGGAGCTCAAAAAAATAAAGTCTGACACTGTTTCCACTATTTCCCCATCTATTTGCCATGAAGTGATGGGACCAGATGCCATGATCTTAGTTTTCTGAATGTTGAGCTTTACGCCAACTTTTTCACTCTCCTCTTTCACTTTCATCAAGAGGCTTTTTAGTTCCTCTTCACTTTCTGCCTTAAGGGTGGTATCATCTGCATATCTGAGGTTATTGATATTTCTCCCGGCAATCTGGATTCCAGCTTGTGCTTCTTCCAGCCCAGCGTTATAAATATTGTCACCCTGCTTATTTAGACCCTAAAAGATTATTTTAAAAAGACTTGGTTACCCTTCAACATGCCCTGCTTGCGTTCCCAATGCTCAATGACTGTTTCCAATGCTCAATAAGAGAAAGCTTGTTGGTGTCAGCTGTGAATTTAGTGACCTTTCAAGGCCCCCTTGTGGGATCGGTCTGCCCATCCATAGTGGTCTCTGCCCTGAAGACATCCTCCTCCCCTGTCACTGAGGTCCTCACTTGGTCCCTGCCTCCCTGCCTCGCCCACACACACACCTCTCATGAAATATAAGATCTGATCAGGTTTTCTTAAAGGGGCAGCAACCACTGTACGTGTGTGTCTGCTGTAACTTCATACATATCTGTCCTTCCGACGTGATGAGACTACACTGGGCTCAGTTTCTGAAAAATCTATAGTCTTTTACATAGTTTAATTATTCCAAAATAACAGGCATTCACACCTGTTTTCAAACATGTTTCTAAGGACCACTGAGCACATGGCACTGGAAGCAATGCCTCACTTCTGAACTTTTTTTTTTTTTTTCACAAAACCAGCAAGTGACATACAGACAGGCACATCATCTGCTTCCTTTCATTGTGATGTTTGCAGCCAGAATCTCCAGGAAAGTCGGCTGATGGGACATGGGGACAAAGACCTTAAGGGTACAGTCCATGTGACACCTTCCCTGGGTTTCTGAGAAACTCAAAATTAAATCCACTCATCCACAGGCACTCGAAATACCACAGGCAATACCAGAATCCAGGTATCCCACCTCTGGGTCAGTTCTTCAACTTTAACCACGAGAATGAGGCAGAGACTCTTCTAATCAGAGTGTATCCCAGCAAATAGCCATTTCACTCTTTTTCTCCTCATTTAAGGTCCTTTATAGCCTACACTTTACAGGTTTCAGGGAACTTTTCCTCTTTCCTACGCAATCATAGGGATTTCCCTGGTGGCTCAGTGGTAAAGAATCCACCTGCCAATGTAGGAAACACAGATTCTATCCCTGATCTGGGAAGATCCCTGGAGAAGGAAATGGCAAACCACCCCACTATTCTTGCCTGGGAAATCCCATGGACAGAGGAGCCTGGCGGGCTACCAGCCCATGGTGTTGCAAAGAGTCAGATACAACTGAGCAGCCAAGCATGCACACATGAGAAGAAATAAGCAACTTAAAAACCCAAGGACTTAAATATCCTGGAAGATTATTCTTTTCCAGGAAGGAACTGGCTTCAAGTCTTGCTGCTTCCTACTGTCACCCAGAGACACACACATCAGATTTCATCCACATCAACACACCACGATTGCTTCCTGAGAGTGGATCAGAGGTGCACTATATTTATCCATTGCTTCTAAACAACCAGGCCAGAAGGTGACGGCCACCTGCTGCCCGGGGTGAGGGACAGGTTTCCCAGTTGCCAGCTCTGCATGGACAGTCCCCGGGCCACTCAGGCTCTGGGGTCTGTTCCCAGGTGCCATGGCTTCCTCTGCCCTGCTGCCAGCCTGCACCAGCAAACCGCGTCACTCATTTGTGTAGTGCTTCCTGGAGCCACCACAAGACTCACTTTCTTTAAATACTGCTATTCCATTTCTCAGGTTTCCCTGGTGGCTCAGATGGTAAAGAATCCGCCTGCAATGCTGCAGACCTGAGTTAGATCCCTGGCTCAGGAAGATCAGCTGGAGAAGGAAATTGCAACCCACTCCAGTATTCTTTTCTGGAGAATCCCACGGACAGAGGGGCCTGGTGGGCTACAGCCCATGGAGTTGCAAAGAATCGGACACGACTGAGCATGTTCCATTCGCACTCTCCAATTTAAAATCGTTGGCTGTCTGACTCTGGGAAGAAGGCTGAATATGCCTGATGCATTTCTATTTTTGTCTGCACCATGGCGGCATGTGGGATCTTAGTTCCCTAACCAGGTATTGAACTTGTGCCCCCTGCACTGGAAGCGTGGAATCTTAACCACTGGACCAACAGGGAAGTCCCCACCTGATGCATTTTAAAAAAATGCATTATAACACCTGCAGTCTAGGACAGGGTCTCGTTACTGCTCCACAAAGCACACTCTAATTATGCATCCCTGCCCCTGGCTTCTCTTGGCAGAAACCCAGCCTGCAAACCAGGGGAAACTTTATCTGTCTTCCACGGCTCAGCTGAAGCTGCTGTTCTCCTCTGGCCTTTCTGGACTCCGACAACCCTTGCAAATCGTCCTTCCCTCTGCCCTCCTGCAACACAGGTAATCCCCCAAACCATTCAGCATCTGGGGACGGAGCTTCCTGTGTTGTTGGCGCTACCTCTTGAATGCTGACCTCATTTCCTCTGAGTAATGAGAAATTCCTTGTGCAAAGAACTTGTGACTTCTCCTCTTTCTATCTCATCTTCCCACCCCACCCCATCCATAAACCAATGACGTCTCCAAAGGAAGTCAGGTACTCATTCCTAAGGATCAACTCACTGGCATACACCCTAAACTTCCCCAAGCCATTATCCTGGCAGCTCCATCCATCATGCTATCAAATGCATATTCTGTGTTTCATATCCCTGTAGGTTTTGCAAAGGGTATGGCTGAGTCACAGGCTCTCCACGTTTAGCAAGCTGGCAGAAGCTCCCATTTGATCATTCAACTTCCTCAGATGCTGGGCCACATTAGGAGAAAGGATCTTAGGTAGAGACGTTACCTTGACAACAAGAGAGCTTTCCATAACCTCCTGCCTGTTGTACACTGAACCTGATACCTAGCGATCAGCATGAGATAAAATTCTTTTAGGTACAACCAGCCATAACCCCATGGTGAGTTCATTCCAGTTAAATCTTTTCATTTTACCACAAGGGAATCTACACAGAAAGGTGCTTTTGAAGCTATAATTTATATACAGTATATGTATACATATTACATACGTGGCTACAATTATGTTTCTAGCTTGTCCGTGCAAAGCTGACCTCAACTTGACAACTGTATTTTTAGAAAACTGAAAAGCCAAGAGTGCCTGTTTGCTCAATTCTGAAATGGGCTAATGTGAAAACTGGGTACTTTCAAATGTTTCTATTCATTGTTATTATTTTCAAAATACTTGTATATATTAACAATTGATATGATCTGTTTTGATTCAGTCCTTGTGCTCAGTCATGTCCGACTCTTTGTGATCTCATGGACTGTAGCCCACCAGGCTCCTCTGTCCATTGGATTTCCAAGGCAAGAATACTGGAGTGGGTTGCCATTTCCTGCTCCAGAGGATCTTTCCCACCCAGAGATCGAACCCACATCTCCTGCATTAGCAGGTGGGTTCTCTACTATTGAGCCACCTGGAAAGCCCCCAACACCTCTTCCTCAATTCTTTAAGGATACCTGACTGGGGAGCAAAATTGTAGTTTTGTACATCATTTTCTAATTGTTCCTAACACCTGGTTAATTCAGCCAGCCCACCTTCTTCTCCTGCTATGTCCAGAAATCCGTTCTCTGTATCTGTGTGAGATCTGATTATTTTTTTTTTTTAATTTATTTAATTGGAAGAAAACTGCTTTACAATGCTGTGATGGTTTCTACAATAGAACAACGCAAATTAGCCATAATTATACATATATCACCTCCCACTTCAGCCTCCCTTCCTTCCCCCAATCCCACTCCTCTAGATCATATTAACATATATTTATAGACTCTAGAAAAATGGTATTGATGAATCTACTTACAGGGAAAGAATGGAGATGTAGAGAACGTACTTGTGGACACAGCAGGGGAAGGAGAGGGAGAAAGTAGTATAGATATGTATCACTATCATGTGTAAAATAGAAAGCTAGTGGGAAGCTGCTGAATAACACAGGGAGCCCAGCCTGGCACTCCATGAGGTCTGATTCTTGATACACTCCAAGACTGAACCAGTGAGGTGACTGAATGTGAAATCTCAGAAGAGAAGAGACAGCCGTGTAAAGACGTGGCAGGTCATCCTGAAACAGACCTGATGATGTTACCCTATTCCTAAAAGCAATGCATCAGGATACTGTTATCTCTTGGTGAGGTTTTCTATACACTAAATAGAGCCAAGATTCTCAACTAAAATTTCCAGTCTTCCTGGTAACAGTGTATACATCGAACATCAGTCAGCACGGAAAACGTGATGCCTCCAGAAACTGGAATGAGTTATAAAACATCTTCATCATTAGGGCAGTTTCCCACTTAAAATGTAATACTGGTGAGTGAATGACTAACCACTATTAATGAATAATGGAATAAATGAAGTGGGTTTTGTTACTTGAATGAGGTGAGTTCACTGTCTCAAAATAGCTCTCAGCTATTCTAAAAATGATGAGATGGTTAGATAGCATCACCAACTCAATGGACATGAATCTGAGCAAACTCCGGGAGACAGTGAGATACCGGGAAGCCTGGCATGCCGCAGTCACTGGGTCGAAAGCATCAGACACAACTTAGCAACTAACAACATTCTAAAAATGGGGTTTCCTTATCAGAAAATCATTTTTACATAATAATATTCACACAGAGTTAACGAATATCCTTAAAGGTGATATTTTATTCAGGTCAAGGGTGTGAATACAGACTAACAGAGAACAATGTTGGTTTCTATGTTAACTTTTATTTTGGATGTTGTATTATTGTAAACTTTAACTGAATTATTAAAAAGGTAGTCTCACTTTGCTTCTGAAGCTGATCACAGTAACCTGTCTTTGAAGAGCCGATGCCCCGTGACCTACACACAGGATACTAAATATTGTGTGTGTGTGTGTGCTCAGTCGTGTCCAGCTCTTTGCGACCCCATGGACTGTAGCCCACCAGGCTCCTCTGCTCATGGGGTGTCCCAGGCAACTGGTTGTCATTTCCTTCTTCAGAGGATCTTGCCGACCCAGGGATGGAACCTGTGTCTCCTGCGTTGCTGGAGGATTTCTGGCCACTCCACCAGCTGGGAAGCTCAAACATACAGGAGAAGATATTATTTAAAGAACCCTGTCTCCAACTCAGATGGAGGGACTCTTTCCAGGTACTCTTAAGTTTCACATACACAATAAAACTGAAAGGAACTGATTTTTTTTTCCCTTGTAATCTATCTGAACTTTTAATCAAATCAAGAACATCATTTCAAGGATAGGAACTAACAGAGGGGGTAAAATAAACTATTTAAGTTACTCAAATACACTTTACTTACTGTTTCCCTCAATTTTCCTATCTGCAAAATGGGAAGAATACCTATTTCATAGGCTGCTATACCTATACCTATACCTATTTCATAGTTTTTTATAAAAACTCTGGACACAAGATATACATTCACAAAAGGTTACTGACTATGATCCTATCACCATCACTGCTACAGAAGCCTGGATAACATAAGACAGCAGCACCAACACTCGCTGACTGGTTAACATAGCCAAGGTCACCCGAATGTCCCTGACTGGTGGAGGAGCTCCGGGCAGCTGCGTGGGTGAGGAGAGAGGCTTCTTGCCTGAGCTCGGGAAGCAGGTCAGTTCTGCTCGCATTAAGCTCGTAAGAGCCTCTGACTCGAATTATGCGTCCATTAGAGAGAATTAAAAACAATTTGCATTTTCTGAATTAATACCCACCTACAGGAAAATGAGGACCCAAAGTCTGCTGGCTGAGTAGGAATAGGAAGTGAGCTAGGTAATGAAAACTTTGCTTCAAATCAGGAAATAAAAAACGCAGCATCCCCAGATGGAGAATGGCACTCAGCAGGCTTGATCATTTCACTTGTACTACACACGTCACAGGCTTCCCTGTGGCTCAGATGGTAAAGAATCCTCCTGTGATGCAGGAGACCCAGGTCCAGTCCTTGGGTCGGGAAGATCCTCTGGAGAAGAGAATGGCTACCCACTCTTGAGTCCTTTGACTTATGATCAAAGACCACTGATGTTGAAACCTCCAAGTGAGAAACCCCCAGGATACACAGGTCATAGTCACAGTGAAGCTCCTCTGGCAGCAGCAAAGCTGTGCAAACAGGATGAGCCACACAGCTGGCGTGATCAGAGCAAATGAAGATGAGGTGCCCTTATATAATCATGAATAAATTGTTGCTGTTGCTCTTGTTGTTTAGTCACTCAGTCGTGTCCAACTCTCTGAGACCCCACGGACTGTAGCCCACCAGGATCCTCTGTTCATGGGATTCTCCAGGCAAGAGTGCTGGAGTGGGTTGCCATTCCCTCCTCCAGGGGATCTTCCTGACCCAGGGATCAAACCTGTGTCTCCTGCGTTGGCAGGCAGATTCCTTACCACTGAGCCACCAGGGAAGTCCATGAACAAATAACAAATAATAAAGGTGTTGAGAATTTTAAGACAGTGAGAGCAGAGTGTGGAACCAAGCGAGGGGCCCTTGCCAGCGCTGGGGCTGGGGACCATTCGGACGGCCGCTCTGTGCACAGAGCTGGTAGGTGGGGCCCCGCCTGGTGGAGCGACACCGCGTGAGCTCTCTACTCACCACTGTCACGGCATCATTCAACAGGGACTCTCCAAAGACCAGGATGTAGAGTTGCTCGTTGACGTGGATGTTCTCAAAGACGGCAAGCACGGCCACAGGGTCCACGGCCGAGATTAAGCTGCCGAAGAGAAGACTCTGGAGCAGAGAGATGTCACTCAGGCCAAAGGCTTCGATCTGGCAGATCCCGAACAGCGACACCCCAATGCCAATGGAATTCCAGAGCGTGCCAACCACAGCGTACCAGAAGATGGTGCCAATGTTCTCAAAGAACGGGCGGGTGGGCATGAAATAGCCCGCATCCAGCACGATGGGTGGGAGGAGGTACAAGAAAAACACATCAGTCTTCATGGCCGGCGGGGACTTCTCATCCACTCCAAAGATAATCCCCCCCAGCAGAAGTCCCACCATGATGAGCAGGCAGCTCTCAGGCACTATGGTGGGAAGCTTGTGATACAGATGGAATCCTGTTCAGGAAAACATAGGGACAAAATTTGGGTTACACAGGAATTATGGGGGCTTCCCAGGTGGCACAGTGGTAAAGAATCTGCCTGCCAATGCAGGAGACTCAGGAGACGCAGGTTTGGTCCCTGGGTTGGGAAGATCCCCTGGAGAAGGAAACGGCAACTCACTTCAGTATTCTTGCCTGGGAAATCCCATGGACAAAGGAGCCTGGTGGGCTATAGAGCCCATAGGGTCACAAAAGTGTCCCTATGTAGGTATCTTAATTCACATAGCAATCAAATATACATTTTTTAAAATAAAATGCAACATGCAATAGAAACAGTGAGAAAATAGTAAATACCATTTTGATCAGACACATCAACAAGCTGCTATGACTGCATGATAATTCTAATGGACAAAGACCTAGTAAGAGAATTTAACTCTAAAAATAAATAGAATCAGTGTAGACCTAGTGAGGACCAGGGACTCCCATGGCCCTGAAGCAGTAATGAGCAGACCGTCAGTGGGCAATGGAAATGAAGTGGGGAACTTGAAAATCCACACCTACCTGGCAGTAATGATAAGGCAGCCCTTCCCCATCCTACCCTCACCAGAGTGGTACCATAAGAAGCCATCTAAAACAAAAGGTATAAATAAGACCTTTGGTCTCATAATACCCCAAATGTCTGTGTTCCAACAGGAAATCACTCATCATACCAGGAACCAAGAAGATGGCAAGCAGAATAATAATAATTTTTAAAAAGATACCACCATCATAATGACAGAGATGTTAGATTCATCTGACAGAAATGTTAATACTGCCATGATAAAAATGTTGCATGAGCAACGACAATCACACCTGAAACAAATTTTAAAAATGGGAAGCCTGAGAAAAAAAATTTAAAACTTGAGTAGAGAAATACATGATACAAAGAAAAATCCTATGGAGACTTTAGAATTGAAGAATACAACAATTGAAATTTTTAAAAATTCAATTGTATTGGCTCAAAAGCAGATTATTAGTCAACTGGAAGGATGAATTAGTAAACAGGAAAGAATTAATAAACTAGAAGATCCAATGAGAAAAATGAACCAATCTGAATGACAGTAAGAAAACAGACTTAGAACGTGAGAGACCTGTAAAACTGTAGCAAAAGATCCAACATTCATGTCATCAGAGTTTCAGAAAGAGAAAAGGAAAAGGATCGGAGTGGAAAACTACTCAAGAAATAATGGCTGAGACCTTCCAAAATTCGGACCAAAATATGTGCGCTTAGTCACCCAGCTGTGTCTGACTCTTTGTGACCCCATGGACTGTAGTCCACTAGGTTCCTTTATCCATGGGGACTTTCCAGGCAAGAATACTGGAGTGGGTTGCCAGGCCCTCCTCCAGGGGATCTTCCTGACCAAGGGATACAACCCAGCTCTCCCACATTGCAGGCAGATTCTCCCACATTGCAGGCAGCCACCAGGGAACCCAGGGCACAAAATATAAACCTACAGAATCAAGATGAGTGAGACCCATACAGGAGAAACCCAAAGAAATGCACATCCAGAGAAACTATACTGAAACTTCTGAAAATATAGAAGAAAAAAAATCTTGATAGTAGATAGTGAAAGGACACCTTATCTATAGGTGAGAAAATAGAATATGAGCAGATTTCTCTTTGAAAATTGTGCAGGTGATCAGGAAGAGGCACAGTGTTAAAAAATAAATGCCAACCCACAATTCTATATCCAGTGAGACCAGCCTTTGGTAATGAAAAAGAAATCAAAACATTCTCATTTGAAAAAAAACTAAGAAAATGTGTTGCCAGCAGACCTGCCCTAAAATAATGGCTAAAGGAAATCCTCAAAATGGAAAGTGATGGAATTTTGAAACATCAAGGATTAAGAAAAGAGAGTGGAAAGAGTAAAAATACAAGCAAATTCAATACATTTTCTTTCTCCCCTTGAATTTTCTAAATTCAGCTTGGCCACTGAAGCCAAAATTACAACACCATTTGATGTGGTTCTCAATGTATATAGAGAAAATGTTTAAGACGACTAAGTGGGGAAAGTAAAAAAAAAAAAATTCAGGGGGAAAGGTTTCTATACTCACAGTGGTAAGTGACAACAACAGTAAGCTGTTATAAGTTATATGCATATACATTTTGTAGATATACATATATATGTATATATATCAATATGTGATATAATACTTAGAGGAATCACTAAAAAAAAAAAAAAAAGCTATACAAAGCTCAAAAACACTATCGATAGATGGAAATGGAGTCCCAAAAAGTGTCAAGTAACCCACAGGAAGACAGAAAAAGAAAACAGAGAAATGAAGAACAGAGAGCAAACAGAAAGGAAAATAAAAAGTGACAGATTTTTTAAACCTCAAACACCACAGATACACCAATAGTTACCAAAAAATGTAGGTTGTCTAAATGCATCAATTAAAAGATAGCTATTAGCAGAATATAATAAAAAGCATGACCTAGCCATATGTTGTCTTTAAAAAACTTGTACTTCATATGCAGTGGTGTAGGCAGGTTGAAAATTAACGAATGGAAAGAGTTACGTCATTAAGTGTTAGTCGCCCAGTTGTATACAACTCTGCAACCCCGTGGACTGTAGCCCACCAGACTCCTCTGTCCATGGGATTCTCTAGGCAAGAATACTGGAGTGGGTTGTCATCTCCTCCAGGGGATCTTCCCAAACCAAAGACTAAACCCCGGTCCCCTGCATTGCAGGCAGATTCTTTACAGTATGATCCACTGGGGAATACATCATAAAAATATTAATCAAAAGATCAAAAGAAAATGGGCTTGGCTAATACCCAATAAAGTAAGCTTCGGAGCAAAGAAATTTCCCAGAGACAGGGAGGGACATTGGATAATTATTAAAAGGATCAATCCACCAAGAAAATATGGGAAGTCCAAATGCATATGCACCAAACCACAGAATTATAAAACATATGAGACAAAAACTGATGGAACTGAAGGGAGAAATAGGCAAATACATAATTATAGTTAATAACTTCAGTACCTCCTCTCTCAATAATTGCTAGATCAACAGCCAACAGGATCTAATTCTATAGAACGGAGGTCTCCAACCTCTGGGATCTAATACCTGATGATCTGAGGTGGAGCTGATGTAATAACACTAGAAATAAAATGCACAATAAATGTAATGAGCTTGAATCATCCCAAAACCATCCCCCCGTCCTCAGTCTGTGGAAAAATTGTCTTCCAGGAAATTGGTCCCTAATGCCAAAAGGATTTTAGACCACTGCTATAGAAGATCAACCAACAACAGCAGATACACATTCTTTCAAAGAATCCACAGAACAAATACCAAGACAGAACATTTCCTGGGACATAAAAACAAACATCAAAAAAATTAAATTTAAAAGAACTGAAATAATATAGAATATATTCTTTGATCACAATGGAGTCAAAATGGAAATCAGTAAAATATGGACAATTTAAAAAAATCTCTAAACTTAGAGAACTAACAACTCACTTCTAATTAATCTATGGGTCTCACACCCACCAAGATGGCTATAATCAAAAAGACAGAAAATAACAAATGTTTTTGTGGATGTGGAGAAATCAGAACCCTTATATGAAGGTGAAAATATGAGTTGTGCAGCCATTTTGGAAAATAGTCTGGAAGTTCCTCAAAAAGATAAACAAAGACATCATTTGACCTAGAAAATTCACCCCTAAGTATGTGAGGATGAGATGGTCAGATAGCATCATCCACTCAGTGGACATGAATTTGAGCAAACTCGGGGAGATAGCAGAGTACAGAGAAGCCTGGCGTGCAGAAGTCCATGGGGTTGTGTTACAAAGAGCGGACACAACTTAGCGACTGAATGACAATCACTTTCCTACTGCCAACTTTTCTGTCTTCTTTAACCTTTAACTTTTCTCTTTCATTTCCCAATGGAACACACAGCCCACTGGTTTATATCTGATTACACTAAAGGTTTATTTGCACCTGTTTCAATTTTGTTAAGGTTGTAAGCACTACACTATAAAAGTAATATCTTTACTGTCTCCAAACACAAAAGAGCAAATACTGCCTGATTCAACTGATATTGACTACATTAAACAGTCGGCTTCATGGAGACAGAAAGCAGAACAGAGGTTACCCAAGGCTGGGAGGAGAGAGCTGGGGACTCGTTGGTTGACACGCAGAGTTTCTGCTTGAGAAGATGCAAAAGTTCTGGAAATGTGATGGTGGCACATCGTGAATGTATTTAACATCGCCGAATTGTAACTTAAAATGGTCTATTGGTCAACCAAGTGTCAGAGGCATAAGAAGGATGTGCTGGCCTCCTGATGGCCACCCCAGCACTGTTTGCACGCACAGGGTCCTTATTCGAAGGGTAAAACATGAAAATCTCTCACACACAAATTCCATAACAGCTTCCCATTTTCATCAATGGTAACAGCATGTCACCATTTGTACTGACTCTCTTTGTAACACGATCCCACTCTGAGAATGGCACTCATTTTGATTATTATTAAGTTGAATACACAACAAATTCCAAGTGACCCTAACTGTCCCAGACAACAGACTCTGCTCCCTTCAATAAACCAAGTCTATATCCTGGGAGCAAAACTTCATGTAACATGAAAAAGCCTGGACCAGAGGTTGCAAACTGGCAGGCCATGGGCTATTATGGCCTTCAGGGCTATTTTGTTTTGTTTGTCTGGTGTTCTAAAATATTGAGCTAATATCTGGAAATTGAGTTTGCAGGTACAAATTCTCTTGTCTGGTTTATCCTGGAAAATCAGCAGACTGAGCCCTCTGTCCCTCACCCATACCAATGTGATCAGGAAGACAGCCAGCTTTAGCCAAGACAAGCAGTGGCCCTCCAGCTCACCTGCCAGCTTCCCCCATCCCTGCCTCCCTACTCTCATCTCACAGGTGCCCTCTCTACTCATGCACCGCTAGGTCCAGGCTTCCTGCCACCTGTCAAGAGCTCAATTCCAAAAGTCAATCTTAAGATGCAACTAAGACTGTA